GCTGGAAGGCGACTGTCTCAAACTGCCCAGGAGCGTCCTTCACGAGCCTCCTCCATAGAGGCCGATATTGACACCGCTTCAGTTTCAGTTTTGAGTTTCATTTATTTGGTATAGCCCTGTGAGCCATTCGGCTCTTGAATCGGGTTCAAGCGCAACAAACAAAAACATGAATAAGAAAACATCTAAAAGTGACTACGTGACTGTGCAAACATGAAATCCAGGAAAAAAACAGCATCATATTCCTGAAAAAGCACCTGATTAAGGCCATCAGTCTAACTCCGTACTACAACAAACAAACATGGGCAAACCCAAAAACTTTTCGAAATCACTCAAATAAAGCCACAAAAGCAATGTAACAGTGATCATAGGAACTGTGACTGAATTTTCACAATAAACGACATTAACAACATGTAACACCAAACCCTAGAGCCATAGCTGGCTGCATGAGTCACTCCACAACAACAGAAGCTTCAGTCGGAGTATCAACATTTATCAATGCACCTTTAAGATCAGCACACTAAATCAAAATACAGATAATACTTTGCAGCGGTCATTCGGAGCGAAACATTTTATTTTATTTTAGGCCACCGAATAGCAGTGGCAGCTAGGGGTGTACAACTCCTCTAGAGCAGTTTTGAGTGAAGATCTCATAGGTAGTGATTCAAGTTGCAGTTTATTGGCAATAGCATTCCAGACCCTGGGGGCATCAATAGCAAAGGCCTTTCCTCCAGTCTTTGTACGGCAATAGGGAATGTGAAGCTGGTAAATGAGCGAAGACCTGAGGTCAAATTTGTTCTTTAAAACAGAGAGGAGATCCAGCAGGTAGTCTGCGGATTTTTTTTGTAAGTACATCGTGAATAAATAAGATCTGGTGCACAAGCCGTCGAACATTAAGAGATGTTAAGTTTGACCCAATGTAGAGATCACAGTGGTGAGTCCTATATGGGCAGTTCAATGCAAATCTTAAGGCCGAGTGATAGATGGAATCAAGCTTCTTCAGTACAGTACTTGGGGCTGATTTATACATGATGTCACAGTAATCAAGTATTATAACCCAAAAACCTTTATTATGAATAGAGGCAGTATGGTAGCTTTTATCAATTCCAAACGAAACATAGGGGGGAAGCAGTATTTGTGTCGATACAGAAAACCATTTTTTTATTTTGTCTTTTTACCAATATAATCAATGTGATCTTCAAAATTAAGTTTTGAATCCAGGATGACCCCAAGATACGTATAGATCTTGACTTTCTCTATTTGATCATTATTTAAGGAATGTAATTGGGGAAAAATAACTTCCTGCTTTAGTCCTGGTGAGAAGCATAGCACCTTGGTTTTGGAGGTATTCAGGACTAGTTTAAGAGCAACTAGCTGATGTTGTAGTTTGTTGAAATCACTCTGGAGCTTAGCAATCACGTCATCCGGAGAGCGGGCGCTGGTACCGGTCATCGGAAATTCCACTCAGATCCACATCCTCCCGTACCACATTATCCCCATCTCTTCTCTAGCCCGTGCCGCGCCTGTTTAGCCCCCTCTATCCGGCCAAACAGAAGCTGCTTGGGCATGCGGTGGCTTGGGCATGCGAGATACATGACCTCAGCCATGCTCACACACCAGAAGCCATAATCGCACACCATCCATAGACTCATACACCAGCCATAGACTCACACAACATCCATCCACTCACACCCATACAAATACCGAGGAGCCATTTAAATTCACGAGACCTATAGACACAGTACATACCACCTAGAGACAAAGATACGGTCTACATTGGTGTAGTGTTATAGCGCCGACTGTTGTCCAGCAAAGGCAACTGCGGTGGAGGAGCAGTACACACGCCGCTGAGCGTCCACATGGCTGTGTGTCGGCAGGGCGAATGAACTGGGGCAAGGGTCATGGAAGACCCCATCTGGAAGCCCCTGGAACCTGCTAGTGGGTTCGAGAAGGGAGGCGCGGCCAGGGCGGAGCCAGGCCAGGCGCGGGGTAGCAGTTGAGAGTGGGAGCTCATGGCTGCCGGTTCTGGGAAGTGGACTCGTTTCGTCGTCACTGCCGTTGTATGAACGACTGGGTGTTTAAGGTTAGCGATTCGCCGCCTTGGTCACTGCCGTCTTCGCTAGATGTCGCGCGGCCGGAGAGTTGTTGGCTCTCTCGGTCGGCGCTGTCGGTGTTACACGGTCAGGGTCGTGTTCAGGGCTAGGCTAGACGACTACGGGGAGCGCGAGAGCGAACTTGTGAACCTGAAGGTGTTAATGAAGAAGGTGCTCCTGAAAAACCTTGTCTCCCGCTCCGCTGAGACTTCACAGGTATACTTAATGTTAAGCCATCATGTAACATAACACCTCATCCAGGACGTCTGATGAGCGTGGAAGAGTAGGCCAAATACCCTCCAGAACCCTCTAGAGTGAAAGCCCTTCCAGTGATGTGAGCAAGCAATTGCAGAGTTGCACCTTTACCGTTCAATCGATACACGAGGGCAAATGTACCACGCTGTAGGCGGAGGCCGTAGTGACGTTTGTACGTTTGGGCATGTTAATCGGTGCATTCAGTATGAACATTACACTGGAAATGATGACCGGTTCCCGACATTTGAAACCGGCAATCGATTCTGAAAACGGTTACCGGTTTAACAGCAGCTCATGGAAGCCTGCCAGTGCCTGTATTACTTTTTTTCATTTTCATCAGCAGCCGAGATCTATCTGCTGCTGGATGAAGGCATCTCTCTCCAAGGCGGTCGCCGCCTCTCACGGTTCCGCGTTGAGACTCACAATCCACTTCGCACGTGTGCCAACGAGGCTCAATTTCATCGCTCCATCTCCGGGCCGGACGTATTTCTCTCTCTCTCTCTTGAGGCCGTCACGTCGTTCGTTGGCCGCCTCTCCACCTGTAGCAGTCAAACAGTGCTCGGGCAACGCGTCCCCCTAGACGTGGTGGTGGCTTGATGGGCAATAATTCATTTGCCGTTGTGTTCTATTTAGGAAGTGGTTCGTGATGCCCACGTACACACCGCAGTACTCAAACAACCACTATACAGTCATCTCATAACCTCACGGTCTCTCATCAACGTCATCCACTGCTGGAGGATTTCACGGGGCCCGCCTCAACTTGCCGATATACTCACACGATCCTGCGACAAGAGCTGATTGTATCACTCCATCTCGATCTGCAGCCGATGTCCTCTCTGGCGCGTTCCATCCTTTGGCTGCCACTCCGCCCATTAGTCTTGCCCACCGGTCAGACGGAGCATATCGTACGGTACAACAATGGAATTTGCAATACTGCCCTCCGCTGTCTCAAGAATTAGACGTTCAGCAGCCGGTAACACCTAGTACGCGTGGCTGGGCGCCCATCGAAGCAATATCGAGGCTCAGATTATCGCGGAGCTTCCGGTATTATGATAAGCAGTGCCACATTATCCTCGTAGCAAAAGTAGCCACGTACAGTATGTAGTAGCTACGTGTGTAGTAGCTTCATGTGTAGTAGCTACATGTGTAGTAGCTACGTGTGTAGTAGCTACGGGCCCCGCACTTCCAAGGGCCCCGCGCTAAATGCTTTCAAGCTGTCAATTCCGGTGCAGTGATTCTGCACTTGCTCTATTACTATAGTACTATACCGTCTTCAAATTTTATGAACGACTGGGTGTTTAAGGTTAGCGATTTGTCGTATTCTGGCTGTATATCAAATGAAAAAATACAATTATATTACTATGCAAGTAAAAAAAAATGTGTTTTAATATTTGTGTTTATTTATTTACTTTAGGGCCCCTTTATAACAAATGCTATAGGCCCCGCACGAGCTTCATCCGGCACTGATGATGAGACTGGGCGCATTGCGGGTGATTTGGTCACACAGAGAGAGGGGTGAGCAGAAAGTCCTGGTGCAATAGAGAGAGAGAGGCATGTTGTACTACCATGGGGAACCCTGATAATGCCTTGTGACGGCGTGAGACGGCAGAGGAGGGTTGGTATATCAGGCTGCAGGCAAGGTTCTGGCTGGCTCTTTGACTTAAGCAAAATCCGTGCGTGGTGTTTGTTCAGTAATGGGAGCTTGCAATTGGTGACCTGACCGACGCATTATCTGGGAACATTCTCGAGGACAAGATTATTTACACAGGCTTGACCCCACGTGAACGTACAACCCCACTCAATTAGCGCGTCAATGCTTCTGTCTCTCGCAGCGTCTGTGCCTCGGTGTCCGCGTCGAGAGGCAGCCAATGGAGTGGGGGGGAGTGGTGGCGGAGTTGTTAGAGCACTGCGTAGCGAACACGTGGCGACGCCTGAGTTCGATTCCCGCTCACGAACAATAACAGTGACGAATATTTGAACCGGACCTTAGCCTTCCCTTAGGTCGACTCAGCCTTAAACGAGTAGCTGGTGTGTAAGCATCACCATTGGGGGGGGGACAAAGGCGGCCGGGCGTGGTGCTGGCCATCCACCCGCATAGGTGCTCGCTAAGAGCACTTTCCCCACCAGCCTGTCAAATGCTATACGGGAACCTTTGTCTTTGTTGTCATTCACGTGTCCCTTTGCGTCGTATCTCTCTGACCGTCAGCGAAGACCCCGGCTCAGTGATGAACTGCTCCCAAGCGAGTTCAATAAAGAGCTCGGCTGGACGGAGACGCGGACACGAGAGGGGTATAACTGTTGCAGGGACACTGGATCGCGAGTGAAGATTTTGGCCAGCAGACACCCAACACCTACGCTCTCCCACTCCCCACTAGGGACTTCATTGTCCATGGAATGTTGTTCAGCGGGGCCTTGTCTCCTAACCTACCCACCCCCAAAGCTCCCGAACCCCGACCCAGTCACAGAGCGCGGAGTAACACATTCCGGAGCGCAGCCTCGGGCAGCTCCGGATAAAATTAACTCCTCCTCCTGCCACCCCCCCCAACCGCCGCCGCTCGTCCTCCACTCCCTCTCCTCCGCTGATCGCGGAAGCAGGAAGCGCGAGCGGAGCGTCGCATGAGCAGAAGCAGCAGCAGAAGCTGTGGCAGTAACAGCAGCAGCAGCGGCAGGAAGGCCAGCAGTAGTTGTAGCAGCAGCATCAGCAGCAGCAGAGAGGCAGGCGAGAGGGTGGAGAGTCGGGAGCTGTCGTCGCATGCGGAACCGCGGGAGGCGCCCGGTGAGTGAGAGCGACGCGGACGTGATGGGGCTGAGATGTACTGGGGATGTGATGGGACTGAGATGTGATGGGGATGTGATGTGATGGGGATGTGATGGGACTGAGATGTGATGTGGCTGAGATGTGATGGGGATGTAATGTGGCTGAGATGTGATGGGATGTGATGGGGCTGAGATGTGATGGGGATGTGATGGGGCTGAGATGTGATGGTGCTGAGATGTGATGGGGATGTGATGTGGCTGAGATGTGATGGGGATGTGATGGGGCTGAGATGTGATGGGGATGTGATGTGGCTGAGATGTGATGGGGATGTGATGGGGCTGAGATGTGATGGGGATGTGATGTGATGGGGATGTGATGTGGCTGAGATGTTTTGGGGATGTGATGGGGCTGAGATGTGATGGGGATGTGATGTGGCTGAGATGTTTTGGGGATGTGATGGGGCTGAGATGTGATGGGGCTGAGATGTTATGGGGATGGATATGTGATGGGACTGAGATGTAATGGGGATATGACGGGACTGAGATGTTATGGATATGAGCGGTGATGGAATTTGATGGGGCTGAGATGTTATGGGGATGGGGATGGAGATGTGATGGGACTGAGATGTGATGGGGCTGAGATGTTATGGGGATGGATATGTGATGGGACTGAGATGTGATGGGGATATGACGGGGCTGAGATGTTATGGATATGAGCGGTGATGGAATGTGATGGGGCTGAGATGTGACGGGGAATCAGGGATGGACTGTGATGGGGCTCAGATGTAATGGGGATGGAGATGTGATAATGCTGAGATGTGATGGAGATGAATGGTGATGGGAATGGGATGTGATGGGGCTGAGATCTAATGGGCATGCGATGGGGCTGAGACGTGATGGGCATAAGAGGTGATGGATGGGGACTGGAGCTGATGAGGGTGGGATGTGATGGGGATGCGACTTGATGGGTCTGAAATGTGATGGGGACGGGACTTGATGGGGATGAGAGGTGATGGGGCTGGGATGTGATGGGGATGTGATAGGGCTCATCTGATGGGGTGTGGGATGGGGCTGATATGTCATGGGCATAAGAGGTGATGGGTACGAGCTGATGGGGGTGGGATGTGATGGGGATGGGACTTAATGGAGATGAGAGGTGATGGGGATGAGGGGTGATGGGGCTAGGATGTGATGGCGTTGAGATATGATGCGATTGGGGTGTGGATGGGATGTCATAAGGATGGGATATATGATGGGGATAGGACATGGTGGAGGTTATGTAAATGGTAGGTTGTGAGCTTTGGTAGTGTCAGGTTAGCTCCAGAAAGGTCATCTTTGTGGGCCTCCTCAAAAAGCCTCAACAAACACGCCTTGTTTTCTCAGCGACTCAACGTTTCGTATGGGGAGGGGATGTGAGAGGTGTTAATCTTGAGGGGATTGCCTCTGCGTGCCCTCAATGTACGGTGGTAATCTCCAGTTCAGTGTACCACTTCACGAGCTCATACAGTGAGGGAAAAAGTATTTGATCCCCTGCTGATTTTGTACGTTTGCCCACTGACAAAGAAATGATCAGTCTATAATTTTAATGGTAGGTTTATTTGAACAGTGAGAGGCAGAATAACAACAAAAAAATCCAGAAAAACGCATGTCAAAAATGTTATAAATTGATTTGCATTTTAATGAGGGAAATAAGTATTTGACCCCTCTGCAAAACATGACTTAGTACTTGGTGGCAAAACCCTTGTTGGCAATCACAGAGGTCAGACGTTTCTTGTAGTTGGCCACCAGGTTTGCACACATCTCAGGAGGGATTTTGTCCCACACCTCTTTGCAGATCTTCTCCAAGTCATTAAGGTTTCGAGGCTGACGTTTGGCTCCTCGAACCTTCAGCTCCCTCCACAAATTTTCTATGGGATTAAGGTCTGGAGACTGGCTAGGCCACTCCAGGACCTTAATGTGCTTCTTCTTGAGCCACTCCTTTGTTGCCTTGGCCGTGCATTTTGGGTCATTGTCATGCTGGAATACCCATCCACGACCCATTTTCAATGCCCTGGCTGAGGGAAGGAGGTTCTCACCCAAGATTTAACGGTACATGGCCCTGTCCATCGTCCCTTTGATGCGGTGAAGTTGTCCTGTCCCCTTAGTAGAAAAACACCCTCAAAGCATAATGTTTCCACCTCCATGTTTGACGGTGGGGATGGTGTTCTTGGGGTCATAGGTAGTATTCCTCCTCCTCCAAACACGGCGAGTTGAGTTGATGCCAAAGAGCTCCATTTTGGTTTCATCTGACCACAACACTTTCACTCAGCTGTCCTCTGAATCATTCAAATGTTCATTGGCAAACTTCAGACGGGCATGTGTATGTGCTTTCTTGAGCAGGGGGACCTTGCGGGCGTTGCAGGATTTCAGTCCTTCACGGCGTAGTGTGTTACCAATTGTTTTCTTGGTGACTATGGTCCCAGCTGCCTTGAGATCAATGACAAGATCCTCCCGTGTAGTTCTGGGCTGATTCCTCACCGTTCTCATGATCATTGCAACTCCACGAGGTGAGATCTTGCATGGAGCCCCAGGCCGAGGGAGATTGACAGTTGTTTTGTGTTTCTTCCATTTGAGACTAATCGCACCAACTGTTGTCACCTTCTCACCAAGCTGCTTGGCAATTGTCTTGTAGCCCATTCCAGCCTTGTGTAGGTCTACAATCTTGTCCCTGACATCCTTGGAGAGCTCTTTGGTCTTGGCCATGGTGGAGAGTTTGGAATCTGATTGATTGATTGCTTCTGTGGACAGGTGTCTTTTATACAGGTAACAAGCTGAGATTAGGAGCACTCCCTTTAAGAGTGTATTATTAAATAATACACATTACATTTTGATTTAAAGAATTACTAATCTACAACTCATTACTAATCATAACCAATGACTGATTACTAATCGATTATATAATTACAATACCCCCCCCTCCGCCTCTAATCACTGCACCTGATATGAGTTAAGTGATGACGTCACCCTGCTGCTCTATATAAAACCGGGAGCAAGCGAGGGCTTTACCATTCTGGCGAATTGCCCGATGATGCTGGATGTATTTACCAGCAAAACGTCGTACTCAAACTGTAAATGTGGATTCACTCTTCAACACACCGGTGGGCTAAAGTAGTGAATTATTTGTCTTTTGTCAACGTGACACTTTTTTTTGCTGATTGGCCGTGTCGGGTGGTGGAGAGTTACGACACATTTATAAATAAACGCGATCTAACCCAAAAACCTTTATTATGAACTTATATAACATTTTTGACATACGTTTTTCTGGATTTTGTTGTTGTTATTCTGTCTCTCACTGTTCAAATAAACCTACCATTAAAATTATAGACTGGTCATTTCTTTGTCAGTGGGCAAACGTACAAAATCAGCAGGGGATAAAATACGTTTTTCCCTCACTGTAATAGCTTCGAGTGACATGCCCCCTGCTCTCACGGTCCCGTTTTTCCACTGTACAACCGAGCCGCACCAGGGGCTGTTCCCAGCCCGCCCGCCCGCAGGTACAGCTCGGGAGGCTCCAGGTTTGTTTTTGCCACTGCACAGGCGAGATGTTAACTACCTCGCTTGGTGTACAGGAGGTCGTGGGTTCGATTGTCACCCAGACACCTGCTGCTGCTGCTGTATATTTGGAGTTTGCGTGTTCTCGTGGGATTTTCTTGGGGTCCTCTAGTTTTTCCCTTCGCATTTAGAAAGGTGCATTTAGAGTATTTGACTGCTGTAAATGTCTTCGTCATGAGCCGCTTCGTTGAGCTATCATTTGTAACCAGGTCGCTTCTGAAAAATAGCTATGTAGTTCAATGTGCCTTACCTGGTAAAATAAATGTATTTATTATGTTACACGCATTCAACAAGTTTCAAAACCATATAGATGACTTGTTGATGCCCTCGCATTCAATTCACCTGTCATTCGCCCCGCCCCTAGCCCTGCTTGGCCCTAAGCCACATTAAGATGTCTTGACGGCTCGCGCATCGCGTTCTGGTTCCAGCTCAGCTGGGTACCGTGGTGGTGAGATGTTATCTCCCTCGCCTACTATGCAGGAGGTTGTGAATCCCATCCCAACTGTGACGATGCCTGTTGTATATTTGAAGTCTTTTTACTTCCCATGGTCACGTGCATTTTTCTCCGGGTCCTTCGGTTGTTCCCCCTCCACATTTAGAAACATGCATTTTGATTATTTGACTGCAATATATTCCCACATGCGATGAGCCACTCCTATGAGCTACAATGTGTCGCTAGGTTGCTACATGGGCTTTACCTGTTAAAATACAATTCAAAAAAGTTGTTTCAAAAGTAGCTTGGCAAATAACCAGTGGAAAACCCACTCATGCCATGATGGCCCCATTCTGGTGTGGCTCACATCTGCCAGTGGGGTAATGTCTGCAGTGACAGTAAAAACGTAGTGAACGGGGCAGTGAGATGAAGGGCAACTGACACTGCAGTGGTGTGGGCGTGCCCTCACCTGGGCTTACCTGGAAAGCAATTGTCGAGTGGCTGCCGTGTATCAGCTGTCCGCCAACGCGTACCTGTGCACACACATCGCGCACAATCCAGAGCTTGTCTATGGGGCGGCGGTGCTCAGGGCGGTTAGAGCAGGGGTGAGGAAGCTACGGCCCACGGCTCCGATACCGCCCAAATCCCAGATCCAGGCCATAGCCCACATACGGCCAGCGATGCAATTTCATGCGGCGCACGGCCACGCAGGGCCGACCGTTCTGAAATGACCAGCCGATTATATTCATCCGTCATCGCCGAGGATCTACGGTCGAGTATATTTGATCTGGCAAGAGGATTGTGTTTCTAATTGTATCTCTGTCGGGTGACTTGTGTCACTGCAGTGGCCACTTGCGGTGACAGCAGTGATGGAGGAGCGCGTGCGTCAATGTGACGCTTGCTCAAGGTGTGTAAAAGTCCTCTTTGGCACTCGCTTCGTTAATGGTCTCCCTCCCCTCGTTGTGGCCCACAGTTTCATATGGCAGGTAGAGTTT